CCCAATGAACTATCCTGTCGAGTCTCTTGATGCAGATATGCATCTCCTTCTGTTGTCCTTCACACAAGTTGTGTGACTGGATCTTCTTTATGACAATTTTCTAGGAGAAAGGGGACAATCTTAAAGCATCATTAACTTTCTACCACTAACTCACCAAAAACAAGTTACTACTTGCTGGGGTCATGTTGTATCCTAAACCTCCACACAAGACCACATGTTACATGTATTACTGAAGATCTGTTTAGCATTTCTTAAAATCCATCATGTTGCCCTGGTTTTTAATACTAATTCAATCTGGCCTCTCTCATTTATGACAGATTCTAGACAACTTTATCCCAAGTTTGCTCTATCCATAGAAAACAAATCTCCAAGTTGTAGATCAAAAAATATAATCCAACAGAGACAGGCTCTCTGACAATCTATGAAGTCTAGACTATTTTGGTCAAAGGGCTTCCAACACTGTCAAAACAATAAAGAATGAGGGAAATCTGTTCCATTTTATGTTTCCCATCATTAGGCATTTATTCAAGTCATTAGTATAAGAACAACAGCAAAGAACTTTCACCATGTCATAGGGAAGCTGAAACTAATAATTACATGGAACCAGGCCCCTTCCTTTCACGGACTGAACAAAAAGAGCTTCTAAGTACCATGGCAAGACAAGGAACATTTCATCAATTAAGCATCTACCCCCTCCCCAAAGCTTTCAACTAAAACAAAACAGTTGATGAAATCGATACAAACATGTTACACACAATGAGGTAGAACCTACGGCTCCATTCCATCAGCACAAGGCTCTTGCGTCAGAGGAAAGGGGCTCCACTGGTGCAAAGAGGGGTTATCTCACTCACTTCTCCCTCCTTAGAATAGCCACTTGTGTTGCATAGTTTTTTGCCCACACGTATACCCCTACTCCTAGTATCACCTCTGACCCTCACAGAAGGCTGCTGGAGGAAGATAGCAAAACTCTGCCACCATATGATTCTTCCCACATACGCAGCTAAATGATTCAAGCCAATACTTTTATCTGTATGAAAACTTGTCAATAAGAACCAGGGGTCATTTCGTAGAAAAAGAGGTGCAGGAGCTCATTAGCATAACTCATTAGAATAACTTATTTGCATATGCCCCACCCCCTGACATCACCGGAAGTGTGTCAGAAGGCAACACCCACTGCTCAGGCTCCACTGGACTGTTTTGGATTGCTAGCTATTGGAGGGGGGGGGACATGCAGATCTGTCCTCGCAGAGGAGGGAGAGCTTGTACTTGAATAAAACTTGGTCTTAAAGGTGCCACTGGACTGTTTTGGGCTGGGGGGCCGGGGGGAGCTCTGCAACTTACCGGGCTGCTTCTTGCTCTGACTGAGGGCTGCTGGGAGCAGGGGGTGGGGCTTGTTGCATGTTCTTTACTGCTCTTTACTGTTGCATGGGCTCTTTACTGCTGAAGCTCCGCTCCTGTGCGCTCTTGCAGGAAATGACCCCTGATAAGAACAAAGCTACAATCTATTAGCCCTCTTCAACCACTATAAGTGGCCATCAGTCCAGTGAAGAATGAAAAGTATGGAGGTGTGGCCTAGAAGAACTCACACTGGGTGACCAAGACAAAAGGAAAGAAAGGTAGCAGTCCTGACTCTAGAACAGAATGAGACTTATAGCAAGACAGAAAGAAAACCCTTATGGCAGATCAGTGGGGCAAACTGTACTTGAATCCTAGCACTCAAACCAACTCACAAGTTTTTATTTTCTGAACTGAACCTAAAATCCCTTTGCTGCCCCATGGGGTCTGGTCCCAATTCAAAAGATTAAAGATCAACTGTGATACATGAGAGGGGGGACCTCTCTGAGTCATATTTGGTGGCTTGGGCTCAGGTTCAGTTTGATCACCTGAGGCCAATGCTATTAGCGTTTCTTGCCTTTTAAAATCTTGGATAAATCCATGAAAAGTGAAGATTAGCACCCTTGGGGATAAGTACACAAGGCTGTATATACCCTGCAATTTAAAAAGTTATGTGTGCAGGCATCCAAATTATGCACCACAACAATTCAGTAACTTGATGCACATGAAGCCAAGGAACCTAATTTCCCTTATTCCACCATAATAAAAATAAAACACTACTTAGTATTTACAAAGCACTTTTCCTGAGTAGCAAAGCACTTCACATGCATTAGCTTGGTAATTCTTACTACATCCTTTTCTCATGGATTTGTATTATTATTTCTAGGATTTACCATACCTCTAGCTCCCCTCTTCTTTTACCCTCTAGCATGGTGCTGTATTGCTCTGGCTAGAGAAATGCAGTGTTGCCTTGCCTACTTCTTCCATCCCACCACCTTTTAATGTAAGCCGCCCTGAGCCTGCCTGGCAGGGATGGCGGGATATAAATTGAATTAAATAAATAAATAAATTTTTTAGTGTTTAAGTACTACTGGTGGTGGTGAACTGAGGTTACCTCAGTCAAGCTGCATTTCCATGGTCAGGACAACAAGATGGAGAGCTACAGCAGCAGCTTTTATGGTCTAGTTGCTCCCCTGATCTCTTCCATCTTGAAAGAGCTGTAAGACAGAGACAGATGAGACACAACATAGTACAGGAAACAGTGTCTATTGCCATGGCACAGTTACTGTTCACTACTTGCCCAGGAGCAATTTCTAGTCATTTCAGGCAAATGGAAATTTGTATGGAAGAATGGAGAAGAGCCAATAATCAACTGGCCATAGCTAGCACCATTAGAATATTTCCAGACTTATCTTTAAGTGCATTCTGAAAGGCACCTAAACTTATTAAACTCAGTTCAGTTTACATTTGTCCAAAGCAAGCCTGAAAACTTTATAGAGATCACCTGAAAAAATGTGGAAATGCAATATTCAGCTTACCAGAGCTACAACAGAATCCTAGAGTTGGAGCTCTTCCAACAACATATAATTGTTTCCCAAGGATAACTGATGAAGTGGTGGCTTGATCCAAAAGTTTGCTACCTCAGCACCTAAGTGTTTAGTATGGAATATATCAACAACCATGCAGGGACACCAGCACAAGGCATGACATCATGCTGGTCTTGCAAGAACAATGGTGCAAAGATATTGGGGCAGATACAGTGTGAGGATCACTGAACAGTTTATTAAAAATAAATGGGTCAATGATAAAACTACTCAAGCAAACAGTGCAAAATCCCACTGATTACCTTTGCACATTATATCAGTGCTGTCAAGACAGTTGTTTTTGTAGCCAAAACTTTACCTGCAGGAGGTAAATTAAAAAAAAACACAACCTTTCAGAGCTAAATGCTCAACAAAGTATAGATAAGGGTCTCCATTTTTCTAAAAAAAAAATCAAACCATTGTTTAAAATTTGTCAGAAATCAACAGTAGAAAAGCATTCAATATATTTGTAATAAACAATACATTTTGACAGAAGGTAATACATTCAAAAAGTTAATATAAGGTCCATTAATTTATTTACTAATTTATATTTTTCTGTAGCTGGTGCTAATAATGCTATTAATCAGAATCACTCTAAGACAGGGGTGTCCATCATGTGGCCCATGGGACACATCCAGCCCCCACAGTGGTTGTATTAGGCCCACAAGCAATTGGTTGCCATCTGCTTACTTCTCCTTCTCTCTTGCTTTCTTCTGTAACACAGCTTGCTTTGCCAGACTCTCTCAATCGCACAGCAAAGCCAAAGAGCAAAGCTTCTCCTCCCTCCATTGGCTGAGGCTCCTCCCTTGGGAAGGG